AGATATACTTTTAAAAATTCCATTGCGAAGTATCTAAAAAGAGTGATTTAGAAATCATAAATACTAAGAGACAACCGAATTGTACTCTATTCAGGGACAAATACTATCTCTGTTTTATAAATGTTGTATTGGTAGACAATACTGTGAATGCTGAAAGTAAATTCGATCACGATAAGTTCATTATTCTCTTTATCTCTGCCAACAAACATCCAACCAATACATACATTAAGACTGAGCTTTTCATAGTAAATATGATTGAACTATCAGGCTCCACCCTGTATAACCTTGGACGTGCACAGATTGCACAAAGCATTGAAAAATACATCATTTAGCCATGCTTAAACTGAAATAAATGTAAAGAAAAACTCAAAGTTCTCATAGAGAGAAAGAATTCTCAAAAAAAAAGTTCGCAAAAAGAGAGAAAGAAATGACCTCATCATGTAACCAAAACTGAAGCCATGTGAACTTAACCACATGTTGCAAGAGAGCGGCGGGAGTGCTCTAGTGCTAACCATGGTTAACACTGGTGTGGATATGCCTGCTTTATGTTATATCCATCTTCTTCATACATGAACATATTTCCCAAGAAATACATATATCTCTACTTTATACATAAATTTGCCAAGCGGGACCATTTGACTGAGGAAAAAACCCGACTCACATGCAGCAGCGAATTCGAGCTAAAATCCAAACGGAGTCCATTGCCCGCAACTTTAACTTCAGTTATTCCAGTATGTTCATATTAGAGTTTATAACTAATTTTCAAAGAATTATTGAAATTGTACTTCCAGCGTGTATATATAAAGGAGTTATGCAACTGTACTGAATTAGTCACACAGCCTGAAACAAAATAAAAATCAGGTGAAGGACCTATTCAAGTTGAAGAAATATCAAGAGATCCACTTAACATCTTTGCCCCGTCCTTCTTCTCATTGTTTAGTATAAGAAAGATAAATTATGAGAATATAGATAGAGTTGTATTCATCTGCAGCCACTAAAGAAACGTATTCTAGCATATCATCAGTCACCAATATTTGAAAAATCAATCTTCTGCTGTTGAAATAAATAAAATATGCAGATATCAAATGCGAAGAAAAACAGGAAAAACTTGTACCCCAAACATGACAGTGAATCTTGGTTTTCGGCAGTTTGTAAATCTTCATTTGTTATCTCTGCTTCGTATTCATGTTGCCTAACTAAATCTGTGTTAAAAGAGTGGCAATAATTATCAAACACGGATTTTCAGATTAACTCATAGTATATAATATACACTATGCTCCCTAAATTTTTAAGGCCCTACAATCAATTGAGGTCTTCAATTTAAAATTGGGTCATCTGATTGTGACTGGGTCAAAATTTTCTCAAGGAGTTCTCACATTTAATTCTTTTAATACATTATGCTTCCTAATTTATAAGGCCTCACAATCAAGTGAGATCTTCAATTTGGAATTGGATCATCCGATTTTGACCGGGTTAACAATTTCTCAAGAAGCTCTCTCATTTAATTATTTTAGTACACTATTTTCCCTAATTTTTAAGGCCTCGCAATCAATTAAGGTCTTGAATTTGGAATTGGGTCATCCAATTTTGATCGGGTCAGCAATTTCTCAATGAGCTTTCCATCCCATTTGGGCTTTCTTTTTTATATGATAAATAAATAATATATCATTGCTCATCATGCATGCATTGTACTCCCTCTATAAACTAATATAAGATCTTTTAAATCACTACTTAGTGACCTAAAAGATCTTATATTACTCTACAGAGGGAGTATATTCTAGCTACCTAGCTGAAGTAAGCACGAAAAGAAAGTATATACTTGGTGGCTGTGCTGTGCCTTAAACAGTTCTTTTGTACTGCTAATAAGCACCACTATTGAGATCGATCACAACGTTTTGATTAGCCAGCTAGGTGAATCTGGCTAGCGATTGTGCGCACATGCATGCGCAGTCTTGGTTACACACAGCATAGTTATAATCTTAGATTGCATAATAATATATTGTGGATGCTTTGTTTGCTAGCCAGCTAGTAGCCTAGTAGTACTATGTCAAATTGCCAATCAATCCACTTAGCATCTCCAACAGCCGCGCGAAAAGACGTGCGTGTGGTAAACTGGCTTTTTAGCGCGCGTTGGACGTTTTCGTGCGCTCCAGTGGTGGCGGGAAACTAGCGCGCGGGAAAAGGCGGCATCTCGCGCGCTACTTTTGGCGCACCGCTGGTGGCGCGTCTATAAATTGCGGCGCTCGCCACGCGTCTATTCACACTGTCACGTGCGCTCTCCCCCGCTTCCTCGTGCTTCCTCGCCGCTCCAGCGTCACGCCACCGACACGCCACCATGTCGCCGCGCCGCCGAGAAGCGTCAGGCTACCGCGGTGTCCGCCAGCACCCCAACGGCTGGTACTACGCCGAGATCCGGTCCGGCGATGTCCGGCTCGGCCTCGACACCTTCGAGACTACGCACGAGGCCGCCCGCGCGTACGATGCGGCGGCGTGGCGCCTAGACAGGTCGCGCCCGCAGATGAACTTCCAGGACGTCTACACGCGCTAGCAGGCGCATGACGTCGCCCCTCCGCCTCGTCTTATCATGGACCAAGACCGTGCGGAGCATACTCGGCGGCAGCGCCGCCTCCTCATCGCCAAGGAGGACGAGCGAGGCATGGCGGAGTGGCGCCGGCGCCACCCGGAGGATGTCGCCAATGAGCAAGCCTACTGGGCAGAGAGGACGGCAAAGCGCCGCGCGGATCGGTTGGACAGGCGTCGGCGGAAGGCCCTAGCGTTATCGCAGTGCGATATCGTTGAAGCAGGTGGGAAGTCGATCTTTTCGGCTAATGATCCTCGTTGGGACGACATGTGGCTCGATACCTCGAACCAGATCAGTGAGGATGATGATGAGGAGGAGGACGAGGACGACTGGAAGTAGGTTGTAGTTGCACTATCTAGTCGTTTTTTATGTCGTTGCACCGTAGTTTTCTATCTATGCTATGAAACTATGTAAAATATATATGTATCGTTTTTATCTATGAATTTTATTATGTATCATTTTTATTTACAAATATGTACGCAATGTTCATGCGATAGCGCGCGCTGCATTTTAGCGCGGCAGTTGGAGCTACGCGTGCGCTAAATTTTATCGCGTCTGCTGGAGCCAGCGCTGCCCGCCGCGCTTTTTCGGACGATGAACATGCTGCCTGCCGCGCTTTTTCTGACGATGAACATACTCCATGACACTATCTGCGCTTTTTCTGACGATGAACATGCTGCAAAAAAGCTGGCTGCAAAAAAGCTGGATGGGTTCGCTTTAATTAACTAATTCTTCTTGCGTTACTATATATCCCGTGGATGATACACTATTAGCGCATGTGTGGTCTGCAGCAATACGAAACGGCGAAAAAGCTGGCTGGCATCGTGATTGTGGATGCTCTACTTTTTGAACAAAAAAGGGGAAAAGAGAGAGAAGAGCCTCATCCTATCGATCATATTCCCTCCATTGAAATAAATAAGGCGTGCATGTATTTTAAATTTTAACTTTGACCATAAATTAAACCAACTAAATATGGATTGTATATGATAAAAAAATCACACCATAGAATTCGTATTTAAAAAGAGTTTTTGATGGCATAATTTTTATATCACAAAATGTATATTATTAATCAAATTTATGGTCAAAATCGGATTTTAGAAAGCGTGCCCACCTTGTTCATTAAAATGGAGGGAGTAGCTGAGGTGGGCCCTGTCATGTGAGTCTGTCCAAAGTCTCTGAAATTATTATTTGGATGTTCAGTTCAAAATCAATATATGATGCTCCCTCCGACCCACAATGTACTGCATATCGATTTTTTTCAAAATGTTAAACTTTGACCGAGTTTATAAATAATACTATTTACATCAAGAATACCAAATACATATTATTAGATACATCACACGGCATATTTTCATAATGTATATGCCTAGTATTCTAGGCCTAAATATTTTGTTCTAAAACTTGGTCAAACTTTCTAAAATTGGACTTTCTAGAAAATCTTTATGCACTACATTATGTAATAGAGGGAGTATCTACGTGGAATGCATGCATGGATGTGTGTCCACGCCGATCCAAATCTTCTATATCTAAATAGTTAGTCACCTCATCATGCAAGCATTAATTCATGAAAAAGACTTATCTCAACATGCCAACATGCATGAGAAAAGGTTTACTTTAATAGTTAAATACACTAAATCATATATAGTTTTAGTTTTAGTTTCTCATTTTATTTATCCAATTATTCATGATCTAAATATCGAATTTCACGAAAATATATTGCAACCAATTCCTGGCGCAATGCGTGGGGTATATCATCAAGATAGTATACTAAATCTCTGATATCACTACTTTTGTTTCTCTCAGCATGCATGAGAAATGCTAGTTATATTCTTTTTTCAGTATGCACATAGTCCACCTCACTACATATGTATGCCACCCCACGAACGTCACTACTTCTATTTTTCTCGACATGCATGGAAACTGCTACTTATATAATAATAATTAAATACAATAAACTATATGGATTTTTAGTTTGTGTTCTCATGTTTAAATTCCAACAACTAAATTTTATCAAAAATGTACTGCACCAATTTCGGCAGCAACGCGTGGAGCTAGTATCATCTACTATGAGACAACACTTATGTCGTACATCTCCATTGGCCATTCTGAATAGACGCAGATAAGGTAGTTATAGACATGGATTTCGTTGGTCCGTAGTAGAACGCAAATTCCCTTTTTTTGAAAATCCAATCCCTAGCAATATAAAAGATGGTTTGATTGCAAAGAAGAGAGCCTCAACTCGTACAGAAATTCTGTGCCGCCGCAGGATACATCACATGGCGTGTCCGTATGCACGTCTAAGACAAGTGCTCCTACTGGATTAGTAGTATATAAACAGGCACATAGCTAGTATGAAGCAGAGAGGAAACTATGTGCCCACTAACCAGCGCCTTCATCCGGCCAATCCACTGAGAGTGACATGACGCCAACCGGAGCCACTGCCGCTCTCGTGCTAGCAGTACTCACCCTAGCACACCATGCCTCACTCGCCGCCGCCGGCGGCCCCAGGGTCATCATCGTCGGCGCCGGCATGTCAGGTACATGATCTGCACACACGTACATATACTACCATATATACCGGCCATTCCATTCACATAACTAGCTAGCCAGTAGACGTACGTAATGTTGCACGTTGTTGCAGGGATCTCTGCGGGGAAGCGGCTGTCGGAGGCCGGGATAACGGACCTGGTGATCCTGGAGGCGACGGACCACGTCGGCGGGAGGATGCACAAGCGGGACTTCGGCGGCATCAGCGTGGAGATGGGCGCCAACTGGGTGGAGGGCGTCAACGGCGGCAAGATGAACCCCATCTGGCCCATCGTCAACTCCACGCTCAAGCTCACCAACTTCCGCTCCGACTTCGACGACCTTGCCAGCAACGTCTACAGGGAGAAGTATATACGCCTGTCAAATGAATTTCTGTACCACGAAAATGCAAGCATAACTAATTAATGAAGTATAGTACATGTTTGAGTTGACGTTGTTTGCATCCTTTCAGAATGAAAGAATTACAGACAGGCAAAAAAGAAAGAAATTACAGACTGACCCAAAAAAAATATAACGGCACCAGGCCCTGTTGATTTGGGAGATTTTTTTAAAAAAAAAGAAACAGAAATATTATAGAGATGGAGCAAAAGCAACTTAAAAGAATGATGTATATGTACAGTAATGCTTTTGGTTACAAAATGCATAAGTATGCACAGTACTTACCATCTTAAAGATTGAAAAGATGAAAAAGAAACTACGTGCCCCTACATGGACACTGCCAACTATTGGTTTGCTACCAATATTTGGCTTGCCAAATGTTGGCACTGCCAACTATTGGCAATACCGAGACTTGCCAACTATTGGCAACTTTATGTGAGAGAGGCAAAACAACTCGTAGCCAATCAAGTAGTTGCCAATATTTGGCACAATGTCAAACATTGGCATGCCAATTTTTGGCAGCAAACCAATTATGCTCTACATTTTCATTTTCCATAGTTCCGGCCTCAATCTCCACGTCGTCCACGCATGGACGACGTGGAGAGATAGCCTTTACACAAGCTGCTGGAACCCCGTTTTCCCCTCTTTGCTGTCTATATTGCATATACACAATGGTTTCCGTGAGCTGCTGGAGATGCTCTTATCTAAATGTTGTAGAAATTATTACTATATTTATGTAGTTGACACTTTTCATATTTAATTTATGATGTTGCCTTGTACAAACTTCACAGAGGTGGTGTCTACAAAAAAGCGTACGTGCAGAAGAGAATTGACCTGTCGGACAAGGTGCAAGAGGGCGGCGAGGAACACTCTGCCAAGCTGCATCTCAGCGGCCAGGATGACATGTCAATCCTCGCCATGCAACGCCTCAACGACCAGTATGTCCCTGCAATGTCACAAAATATTTGTTTGAACGTGTGAACAGCTTTCTTAATGTAACATACATTTTTGTGAATGGTACGAAATACTTTTTCAATTACATAAACATTTATTTACATTGTATAACATTTAAAAAATATAATGTGCATTTTTTTAATGCGTGAACATTTTTTTGAATAGTCAAAATATTTTCCAAAAGTTAACTGAACAATTGCTTTACACTGTATTTACATTTTTCTAATGTGCAATGAACACTTTAAGATAAATAAAAGAATATGTTTTCATAATATATGTATTTTTAGTAAGATTTTAACTATGAACAAAAGAAAAAACATGCGTGCAATGCCAGCGTGACATGACCATGTGGTTAGTGGTGACCACCACCCAGTGCAGACGACGCGGTCTACTGTCTTGCACAAAGCGAGACATAGACGCGTCATAATCATCCATCCGTATGTGTGTCAGCCTTCCCAACGGGCCGTCGGCGGCAGTGGACATGATCCTGGACTACTTCAAGTACGACTACGAGTTCGCCGAACCGCCACGCGTGACCAGCCTGCAAAACACCATCCCTCTCGCCACCTTCAACGACTTCGGCGACGATGTTTACTTCGTCGCCGACCAGCGCGGCTATGAGGCCGTCGTCTACCACCTCGCTGGCCAGTACCTCAAGGCCGACAAGTCCGGTGGCATCATCGACCCCCGTCTGCAGCTCAACAAGGTGTACATATTCCGAACAAATCTTCAATAGCCATTTTTCGTTAGAAGTTGAAATGTTGAAGGAATTAAGCTATTGAAGAATCCACTGAGATTTTTGTGGCCATGCATTGCAGGTGGTGCGAGAGATCTCTTACTCCGGAAGCGGCGTAAGAGTGGAGACGGAGGACAACAAGGTGTATAAGGCAGACTATGTCATGGTCTCAACGAGCTTGGGGGTCTTGCAATCAGATCTCATAAAATTTGAGCCACAACTTCCTGTCAGTTTCTTCTGTCCTGCTTGATTGACTGGTCCATTGCTTTGGTTAGCTGCACCCATATTCTGACCTTGATTTTCCATGTGTACTGAATATGTATGTACATAAGACATGGAAGGTTCTGTCGATCTACCAATTTGACATGGCTGTGTACACCAAGATCTTTGTCAAATTCCCCAAGAAGTTCTGGCCCGAAGGCAAAGGCAGAGAGTTCTTCCTCTACGCGAGCAGCAGGAGAGGCTACTATGGAGTATGGCAGGTCGTTCATAATAATCATGTGTAATGAACATATATATTGATATCCAATGCATTCCTTACAACTTCAAGTCTTGATGGAATTGTTGCGCGGTTCAGGAGTTTGAGGCGCAGTATCCAGACGCCAATGTCCTCTTGGTCACCGTCACCAACGAGGAGTCGAGGCGGATCGAGCAGCAGTCAGACAACCAGACCAAGGCGGAGATCATGGAGGTGTTGAGGAGCATGTTCCCCGATGAGGATGTCCCTGACGCGACAGACATCCTCGTGCCACGGTGGTGGTCCGATAGGTTCTACATGGGCACCTTCTCCAACTGGCCCATCGGCGTCAACCGCTACGAATACGACCAGCTCAGGGTGCAGCGTACCTCCAAAAGTCCAAATCATATTGTGCTCCCTAATTGCTCATGTGACTCTTTTGCGATTGCACCTTATGTGGCTTTCCCCTCTGCTATATATATAGGCACCGGTCGGCAGGGTTTACTTCACCGGGGAGCACACCAACGAGCACTACAATGGCCATGTCCATGGAGCTTATCTTTCAGGTATGACGACGTCTTATGGCTTGTCTTTTTTTTTAGCATGTCTTATGGCTTGTCTTGAGTTATAAATGTTTTACTTTCAATTGTGGTAACCAGCAAAACTTGATGTTGATTTGATGCTTATGTGTATTATTCACTGTCTTTTTTTCTAGGTATTGATTCGGCGGACATTCTAATCAACTGTGCTCAGAAGAGTATGTGCAAATACCACGTCCAGGGCAAGTATGACTAAAGATCTTAGAGGTAACATTTACAAACAGACTAATCCTCTGATCGTTTGCGAATGTGAAGCATGTCCTGATGACACTCTGTGGTGGTGAACTGTAGTTGCTAACCATCGCTGTATTTATTCTATTTCTCTTTGCAGGGCTTTGCGTCATGAATGTCGACTATAATAAAAATGAAAGAATGGATGGATCATGAATGGATATCAATATAGTGATACCATAATACGTGTCTGCAACTTCACTGGAGAGTGTCGTGTGGCACGACAACATAAATTCATGCTAAACCATTTCTTTTCGGATTGTTGGTTGTTTCATTGTTATTCCCTACGGTTTAGTTGTTCGCCTGATGTATCAGTTCAAGATGTTTATGTGTTCTCTTAAATTGAATAAAGTGTTGTCTCAATTGTGTATTATATGTCATACTTTATTTATTTTGTACCATCATCGTGTGACGCCTACACCTGGTAAAGGAAAAGAAAATCGTGTGGCACCAAATTAAATTCAGGAAAAATACTCACGCGTAGACATGAAAAATATACGCATGCTTGTAGAATTATACGGTAGAATGAAATGTACATCTTGCATGTGCGAATAAAACAGTCTTCGCATAAGCTAAGCTCTTGCGTGAACGACACAATTGTATAGCAAATACGGCATCGTTTGTGGTAAATCAGTTGTTCGGGGTGTTATTTGTGTCTTTGTTTGTCTAGTCATGTTGTTTATTAGATGTACCTATGGACTGTTAATGTTCGCTAAAGTTGAATAAAATATTGTGGATCATGTCACGACCAATTAGAAACACTTGCACTAGCTAAGTGAAAGGAAAATCGTGCAATGACAAAATTTCAAGGAAGAAAATGAAAACCTTGTTTAGAAACCGACTAGAAGGTTCTCGAAACGGGTAAAAACTCGGGCTGGAACCATCCTGAACGTTCTTCGTGACCAGCGTCCAGTTATAGAAGTGATAAAGCGGCCTGCGCAGTTAAGAACGCTCGTCTGGATCCTCAAAAAAAAAAAAACGCTCGTCTGGTTGGGTTCTCTATGCGAAACCATAAAAAAACGCGCGAGCGCTCCTTTCGACTCGCTGAAGCTTTTTGCCCCGTGCTGTAGCGACTAGACTGGCCCAGTTATATCTGTTATTTTTTCCTTCACTGGTTCTTTTGCCACGCTCGGTGGGTTGGTACGTTCCGGGGTTTTTTAAGAAACCGTTATTTTTTGTTTTTATTTCTGTTATCTTCGCCTTTCACTGTTTTTCTGTCATTCTGTTTTCTTTGCTTTTTCCATCGATTATCTTCCTTTCTTTCCTGGTTTTCATCAGTTTTGATTGTTTTTCCTTGTTTTTATTTGCTTCTTTTCTTAGTTTTCACTCAGTTTTTCCTTTTCTTTCTTTCTTCGTTTTTCTTTCTTTCTTTCTTTTTTTATAGTTTTTTTCATTCTTTTGCATTTGTTTCTATGGTCTATTTTTTTCTTTCTATTTGAGTTATTTTGTTTTTTTTTGCTTTTCTTTGTTTTCATTCAACATTTTTTTGTATATGCCAACAACATTTTCTAATACCAATTTAACATTTTTCCAACATAAATTTAATATATCTTTAATACATGGTCAACATTTTTAATACATATTTTTCAAAAAACAAATACTTGATTAACATTTTTCAAAGACAACATTAATATTTTTTAATACTTGGTCAACATTTTTCCTATACGCACATCTAAACTTTTTCAAATGCTTCATTAATAGTTTTCAAATAAAAACATTAGCATTTTTTTTAATACTTGGTCAACATTTTTTCAATACACATTTAACATTTTCCAAACGCTTGATTAAAATTATTCAAACATTTTTTCAAATGCTTGATTAACATTTTTTATATACATGATCAAATTTTTCATCATTTTTTATACATGGTTAACATTTTTCTATACACATTTCACATTTCCCAAATGCTTGATTAACATTTTTCAAATACTTGTTCAACATTTTGGTTCAGTTTCTTGATTAATATTTTTATATACATGATAAAAGAAATCCATCATTTTTTAATGCATGATCAAAAAAATTTCTGTAGACATTCAACATTTTTTGAATGCTTGATTTATATTTTCGAAATACTTGCTCAACATTTTTCAAATACTTGTTTAACATTTTTCAAATGCTTGATTAAAATTTATTCAAATACTTGTTCAATATTTTTGGAATGGTTGATTAACATTTTTCAAATACATGTTCAACATTTTGCAAATGGTTTTTATAGAGATTTTTTTGTAATAAAGCAAAAAACCAAAAACATAAAACATAAAAAGAAAAGAAAAGAAAAATAGATTGTGGCCTCCCGCGCGCGTGGGCCGGTCCATCTTGCTCGCTCCCTTAAGCAAGTCAGAAATTAGACTCGCCGAAGTCAAGATATAGGGGCGCATGACAAGACGTCGCAATGAAAATCCATCTACTACCGGCCAGGCGGCCTGATTTGTGGCAGGCCTTAATTGCAATTTCGACCGGACCATGATACCGGCACATCATATCATCAATACTCTCTCAACGCTTTGAGCTGTGGCGGATGGAGCTCGTCTAACACCGCCTTGCTCTCCTCTCTCCCAAACGCCCTCTCAGCGCCTCGAGATGCGGCGACATGGACCTGCTAGGGTGGCGGTCCGTGTAGGCAAGCGAATAGAGGGTAGAAGGGCGTGGGGCGGTAGAAGTAGGGTAGAAGGGCACGGGACGACGGATCCAATAGGCGTAGGGCGGTGGATCCAGCGCACGCGGTGGTGGTGCCACCGTAGATGTTGCATGTGTCACAGATTACCGAGCAGGGAGAGGGCCGCACCGTGTAGTGTCCCTGCTGCACCACCGGGAGGTGCATTCGCTTTTTTCATTTCTAAATGCATACCATTGGCGGGAGTGGAAAAGGACAGATGAATATTGACACCCGTAATTAGTAGTGCACGCCATCAGTGGCGGGCGCTATGTAAAGCTCGCCCCTGATGGACCTTTACCAGTTTATGAAAAAGTTAACGTTTTTTTAAACTTTTGAATTTTTTTGGTAAAACTTAAAACTCAAAGAAATTTTGAAATTCAGAACAAATGTTTAGAAAATGCGAATCATTTTTGAAAGTGTGACCGATATAGAAATTTCCAAACAACTTTTGAAATTTGTGAACTTTTTTAAATATGAAGCTTTTATGAAAAGTACAGACAATTTTTGAAAACGTGACCTTTTTTAGATTATAAATAGTTTTCGAAAATATTGAATATTTTTTAAAATTTGAGATTTTTTTGAAAGAAAAAGAAACAGAAAATAAAAAATAAAAAACCGAGAAGAAAACCAGAAAATCTGGTACCGGAAAAAACCCAATATATGAACCTACTAGAAGGTTCACAAAACCGGTTAAAACTTGGGCTGGTACCTTGGAAAACTTGGGCAGTTTCTTTTTGAGGGGTGCCTGAGCAGTTTAGATCACTCGCTTGGTTGTGTCCTAGGCGAAACGATGACAAAACGCGGCAACAAATCCGTCTACTACCGGCGGCCTGATCCGTGGCAGGCCTTGATTACAATTGCGACCGGGCCATGATGCTGGCACACCGAATATCATTAATACTACCCCGGGTTGAATTTGAGCAGCTGGTCGTCTGTGTGCTGTGAGTACCAATGCATGCGTGATGTGGAATTTGAGTGCTGTGTTTGTGAGGCCAATGCATGCGTGATGTGGAATTCGAGTGAAGATAACTGCTGCACGTATGAACTGATGGGTGACCATCTGCCTGCCCATCCATGGAAAGTCCAAGCGAGACATCATGGTGTACCAATGCATCTCCGACGGATCTCTCAAAATGCCCGGAAACGCCGATACCAAGGACGCATCAAGTCATCGACACGATACCCCATCGGTCCGTGGATGGGTCTGCTTGTCCGAAATCCCGATTATCCCGTGCAGGGGCGGAGCCAGGATTTGGATATAGGGGGGGCCAAGTCATGTTCATTAAAGAAAAATGCTCACTGCAGAAAAATAAGTACCATAATACTATATTATTGTGTTGCTTCAACACAACTAAAATAGGGTCTGTCTATGGCATATCAATATATGGCTTAGTTATTGCACAAAAAGGAAAAAAGAAATATTCGCACTAATCTTTGCATAAAAAATAATCAATGTCATAGGACCTAGATTTTAATACTTAGGACACATCTAGATGTACTTTAGCAAAACTGATTAAAATATATTTACATTTGTATTGGTTTATATTTGCCCCTACAGTTGTCAATAAGATCAAAAATATTGATGATTTCATGAGTAGTTAACCTAGTTGCTAGCAATTTCCTATCAATATAGATTAGCCAAGCAAGTCATTGCCACTGAACTGGGATTGGTAAAAATTGCACATTAGCCACATTAACAACATTACTAGGTGGAGAACTCGAAACAACATACTTTAAAAGAGAATTAATCTTTATGGTGTTTGCAGCCCTTTTCTCTTCATGACCGCATCACAAATCAAACAATGAAAATAAAATAAAATTTATTAGCATCAAATGACAACTTCAACATGTATAAGATTAGAGTTGAGAGGGATTAGTAGATACAGTAGTTCTCAATAGTGCTAACCTTGTGCCTGAACAGCTAGAGAATTCACAGAGTTGAGAGGTATCCGTATGATTTGCCAGTTCAGAAGCCTGTGTCGCCTGATTTTAATTGACTCCGTGAGTAGTGAGGGTACGAGGCAGCGGCCGCCGGCAAAGCTAATCGCTTCAGGTTTATCACGCTGGGGGGTTGGCTTAACGCCAGGGGCCAAGTACTAGAGTCTATGGCCATGAGTGGGCTTTTTTATGGGCCTTTTTCCCAGATTTCTTCATAGCCTTCGTTTGGGTTGAGGGGGGGCCATAGTACGTATATTTCTCAGTCCAGTAGCTAATTACTCGTAGCCTCTGAATAAATTGTCGATCGTTAGGGGGGGGCAGGCCCCTGCTCGCCCCCCCTTGGCTCCGCCACTGATCCCGTGAACCGAAAG